GATTGTGTAGACAGATGTTGAGATATCAGTGGAACATTGTGTAGACAGATGTTGAGATATCAGTGGAACATTGTGTGGACAGATATTGTGATATCAGTGGAACATTGTGTAGACAGATACTGTGATATCGGTGGAACATTGTGTAGACAGATATTGAGATATCAGTGGAACATTGTGTAGAAAGATATTGAGATATCAGTTGAACATTGTGTAGACAGATATTGAGATATCAGTTGAACATTGTGTAGAAAGATATTGAGTTATCAGTGGAACATTGTGTGGACATATATTGCAATATCAGTGGAACATTGTGTAGACATATATTGCGATATCAGTGGAACATTGTGTGGACAGATATTGCGATATAAGTGGAACATTGTGTAGACAGATATTGAGATATCAGTGGAAGATTGTGTAGAAAGATATTGAGATATCAGTGGAACATTGTTTGGACAGATATTGAGATATCAGTGGAAGATTGTGTGGACATATATTGCGATATCAGTGGAACATTGTGTGGACATGTATTGCGATATCAGTGGAACATTGTGTGGACAGATATTGCGATATCAGTGGAACATTGTGCGGACAGATATTGAGATATCAGTGGAACATTGTGCAGAAAGATATTGAGTTATCAGTGGAACATTGTGTAGACAGATATTGCGATATCAGTGGAACATTGTGTAGAAAGATATTGAGATATCAGTAGAACATTGTTTGGACAGATATTGCGATATCAGTGGAACATTGTGTGGACAGATATTGCGATATCAGTGGAACATTGTGTAGAAAGATATTGAGATATCAGTGGAACATTGTGTGGACAGACAGACATGCACACATGCAAACACAGATATAAAGCATGCCATATCAGGTTCCATGGTGCGCTTTGCACAATTAAGCTGAAACTTGAAGCACCACATTTTTTTATACAATGTATTTTTTGGATACTCCAAGGTGAAAATTATATATTGTTTGCAGTATTTGCTCTATTAAAAGCACATGTACTTATGTAAATGAAAGAGGCAAGTCTATGGTCAAAATATGATGCATTTCAAAGATCAAGCATACAATAAATACACGTTTTGTTTTATATGTGCTTCTATTGGAGATGCACTTCTAATAGAGCAAATATGGTAACAAGGTTGCTGAGTCGTTCTATGCACATGCTAAGGTCACACCGATGCAAAAAATACAAATCAGCAATCTGTAGCTGAAAACAGTGCGTGGCGAATTAGTATCGGAAAACTCAACCAAAATGAATGCCATCTTTCTTCTCGTCAACATTCTGCACATTGACGCGCATTTTTCTGTAATTTC